TAACTACCGGGATGTTGGTGAACAGTGGAGATACATCTCTTGTGATAGGCTCAAAAAAGCAAACTACCAGCACCACAAACAAATCCTTAATTTCTACATTGCTGCAGCGACTTCAGCCTAAGACGACTCCAGCGTTTATATTTCCTCGTGGCTATATATGGAAATTCTGTTAACATACCCTAGTTCCAGTAGGCAGGAAATTCGGTTCCATATTTTTTTTCGGTTTGTATTATATAACAAGTAAACATGGGTACCTCGAATTTTGTTCTCTATTGGGACCGTCTGGTGTTTGCCCTTCGTTGTTGGAGGTTCCACATCATTCAAAAAGGTAACAGACCTCGTTCTGTGGACTGTTTGTCTACGGCCTTGAACAGTGTTCCACCTGTCTAAAGAACACCGTTTTAGAAGGTGGGTACACGAAACCTACACATATCCTGAGCAAAGTGAATGTGAGCCCGGAAACGTCTAAAGAGGCTTAGTAAACAGTTTGCCCATGAAATATTTGAAGCCGTTAACTTTCTACCCTAAAAAGCGAATAATCACGTCAATTCAGTAAATATAGAGGTGCACACGAACCCACTACAAGCCTGCGTTTTAGAGCCGATAGGTGGACGATACATTCGTCTTATTGAGAGGAAAAGGTAATCTGGTTTTCCAGACTGGCTTAACGGCACCTTCCCGACATTCAATCTACAAGAGGGCGTATGCCTACATAGGTGAAATTATTTACGGTGCCATTGACTGTGATACCAGGGCCCCTACTGTTATCAGTCTTGAATGACAATTGGTACATGACTACCGTTCTGTCCACGTTGATGGTGAGCCCGAATTTGATGCAGTTGTCCGTTGGCATGAAAAGAGGCCACGACAAAGCCAGTCGGTGTTTGCTTGATCAGTTGATTTGGTTTGGGCAGTTTCTGGGTCCCTTTGATTGGCTCTCTCATAGGCCTTATGCGTGCATTGTCTGGCAGCTGGAGAACCGTGATCACGTGACCTCTAGTACGTCGTGAATGCCAGAGGCGGGAGGGCAGACGCGTTTAGGGCGCTACGTGGGGTATCTGACGTGCAGTCGCCCAAAATACGATTCTGCTGTGAATTTAAAACGGTTGAAGACGCCATAAGGATGCCCTGAAGATCCCTTCCACGCGCCTTTAAAACAATATAAAAGACTAAAGGATCAACTGGCCTGGCTTACTGCCGTAAAACCCCGCGAAGCAAACCTCCCAGATGAACCTAATGTAGGAGAAGAGGGCGACTTAGAGCGCACGAAAGGCCCCATTACGGTTGTTTTAATCATCATCCGAGGGTCTTGAATTTTCCATACCTTGTCGAAGAGTCAATCATTTAGATGTTCGAGAAACTCTACAACCAAGTTTATTATCCAAAACCCGTCTCCGCGTATCCAATTGTATCTATGATTATCCGAAACGGAGACCCATGCACCTAGGATTGCTGATAAAAGCACGCACAAAGAAGCTAAAACAGCTTCGAGAGAATAAAGATATTTCGGTTATTAGACCGGTTAAATTAACAGACATCGTTAAAATGAGAAGATCGGACTATGTAACAAATATGCAGTCTACCTTATCACATCGGGGGAATGTAGACAAAGAAAAAGATTGCACGGAGGAGGTAGAAGTATAGCTGACTGACTGTGTCGGAAGATTCTCAACAGGAGGTTCCATAAGAGACTGTGGCTTCGAACACCTCCTACCAGTAAGCACACACATCCCACGATTATACAATATACAGAAGATCCACAAGGATGGCTGAGAAGAACACCTCATTTCTTACATTGCCTTTTCGAGGGGATAGAGCAAGCGAACTTCTACAGCTTTGCTTGAACGCCGCAATCGTGCGCATGTATCCTGCAGCTACGTTAATATTAGCATTTTCAAGCACTCCACTTCGACGCCCTGAAGGCAAGGACGGACTCCCGTTCCAGACCTCTTCAATGTATATCTACGCTTTTACATGCTCCTGTGGGGTAGGTTATGTTGGTCGAACAACTAGACGACTATCCAAGCGCAGACGAGAACACCATCCTGCTTGGCTAAACAGAAGCAAGGTAAA